GTGGGTCACTGCTTATGCTTCCATCAGTTACTGGATATAGGTTCTATGATGACAATTAGGGTAGTCACTAATCTGATTAAAGGGGGAAGGCCCATTCAGACACCCTCTCTACTATTACTAGGGGTGGTAGCTGGGGTCATCCTTGTGAATTCCTGGAAATTTCCCTAGCACCAGGTTTGTCCCTAACCCTATAATGGCTCCCTCTATCAAGATCTTTTTCACTGCTCTTCCTCTCCACATCTCCCCCAACTAGGCCTCTGGATCTCTCATGTTCCCATTCCCCATCCCCTCCCTTCTATCCCCTTCCCAGTTTATCCAGGAGATCTTACCCATTTCTCCTTCCTGGGGCCCTCCATGTGTGTCCCTCTTAGGGTCCTTCTTCTTACCCAGCTTCTCTGGGGTTGTGGATTGTGGGCTGGTTATCCTTTGCTTTATGTCTAGTATCCACTTATGAGTGAATACATACCATGTTTGTCTTTCTGGATCTGGGTTATCTCACTCAGGATGTTTTTTTTCTAGTTCCATCCATTTGCCTGCAAATTTCAAGATGTCTTTTTTTTACCACTGTGTAATATTCCATTGTGTAAGTGTACCACATTTTCTTCATTCATTTTTCAGTTGAAGGGCATCTAGATTGTTTCCAGGTTCTGGCTTTTATAAATAATGCTGCTATAAACTATATCTGTAATATTCTTAGGTCTGGTCTTTTCATGGTGTCCCAAATTCCTGGATGTTTTGTGCTAAGAATTTGTTGGATTTAACATTTTCTGTGGCTGGTAAATCTGTTTCCTCTACTGTATCTTCAACACCTGAGATTCTTTCTTCCATTTCTTGCATTCTGTTGGTTATGCTTGAATCTGTAGTTCCTGTTTGTTTACCCAGATTTTCCATTTCCAGAATTCCCTCAGTTTGTGTTTTCTTTGTTGTCTCTATTTCAGTTTTCAAGTCTTGGACTGTTCCTTCATTTGTTTGATTGTTTTTTCCCTTGGTTTTCTTGGCTTTCTTTAAGAAATTTATTGATTTCTTTCAATTTTCTGTCTTTTCCTCCATTTCTCTAAGAGAAGTTTTCATTTCTTCTTTAAGGGCCTCTATTATCTTCATAAAATTATTTTAAGGTCGTTTTGTTCTGCTTCATCTGCATTGGGATGTTCACGTCTTACTGTTGTAGAACCACTAGTTTCTGGTGCTGCTATGTCATGCTTTATGTTGTTGAATGTACTCTTATACTGCTCTCCACCCATCTTTTCCTTGGTGCAGATGGAGCCTGTGCCTCCATGGCTCTCTCTTCCTCCATAGGTACAGATGGGGCCTGTGGCTCCAGGGGTCAGTCTTCTTCCAATCAGTGTAGGTGGGGTCTGTGGCTCTGGTGGTTACTGTTTTGGTGGGGGATGTTTGGGCGATGAGGAGGATGTAGCTTCCTAGTTACTGGGGCTGCACTAAATGGGAGTGGGGCAAGGGATGTGTCCTAAGGGACTAGGGCCTAGAGAGCAGGACTGTCCAGTCAGGAGCTCAGATTCTCATCTCTTCTTCTAGGTGTAAGATGGGGCATGTGGCTCTCTTGGTCACTGATGCTGCCGGCAATGGGTGTGTGTGTGTGTGCGTGCGTGCGTGCATGCGTGCGTGCGTGTGTGTGTGTGTGTGTGTGTGTGTGTGTGTGTGTGTGTGTTACTGCCAGGTCACTGGGGCTCTTTCTCCAGGTGTAGTGGGCCATGTGGTTTCCATGGTGGTTGATACAGGGTGTGGTGGTGGTGGTGGTGTGATCATGACAATATATAGACAGATTTTTCTTTGGACCCCCCAGCTCACAAAAAATGGCATGGAGACTTACTATTAATTACGAAGCCCAACCTTAGTTTAGGCTTGTTCCTAACTAGTTCTTTTATAACTTAAATGAACCCATATCTCTTTTTTTTGGTTTAACGAGACAGGGTTTCTCTGTATTATTTTGGAGTCTGTTGGTACAGCCTAGCCTTGAACTCACAGAGATCCACCTGCCTCTGCCTCCCGAGTGCTGGGATTAAAGGCGTGCACCACACTCTGTACTGTCTATCTTGCTTCCTCTTCATTTGGCTGGTGATTCTGCTTTCTTCCTCCCGGAGCCTCTCTCTCCCCAGAAGTCCTGCCTAGCCTCTTCCTGCCTAGCTATTGGCAGTGTAAAGGAATATTCCACAACAACGATAGGAACTTGTAGGTTGAGAATTGATTCCTAAAAGGAATGCTATTTTTAATTCACAGATAAATTTTGAAATCTCAGTATTATTATAAGTGAGATAGGCAATTATATATTTATAGGCCAAATTTATATACAGCTATATTTATATTGGCTGTCCTACCTAATGTGCTAAAAATTGGAATGATAAAAGAAGCTAGAAGGCAGTTTCATTACTATTTCTTGTGTGTGTGTGTGTGTGTGTGTGTGTGCTCATGCAGTGGGCATACCTGTGTTTGCAGTGTGCATGGCTGTGTATATGCAGTATGTATCCCTGTGTATGCAGTGTTTATGTCTGTGTGTATGCATTGTGTATGCTCGTGTGTGTGCAGTATTCATGCCTGTATATATTAAGTGTCCATGCCTGTGTATGCAGTGTACATGCCTGTGTATGGAGTGTGCATGCCTGTGTGTATGTATCGGTGTGTGTGTGTGTGTGTGTGTGTGTGTGTGTGTGTGCATGTGTGTGTGTGTGTTTGTGTCTGTGTTTGTATGTGTGTATTTGGAGGCCAGAGGACAACCTCATGTTCTTTAAGAGGCCTTTACCTTGTTATTTTTATGGACTCTTATTGACCTGAAACTCATCAATTAGGCCAGGCTTGTTGATCATCAAGCCCCAGGGACCCTCCTGTCTCTACCACCCCAGCACTGGGATTGCAATTACCTATCATCATAATCATACCCTGCTTTTTCATGTGCATTGTGGGGATCAAACTTATATCCTCAGGACTGCACAGCAAACAATTTGCCAACTGAATTCTCACTCTTGCCCCATACTCCTATTTTTTTTAGGGTCCATCAACCTGTCTATCTCTTCTCTCACTTCCTCCCTTATTCTCTCTCCCCCTCCCATCCAGAAGGTGAAGCACTGTCTTTCTGACATTAGAAATGTTTACCACAGTTACCTTTAGATATTATCCAGTTAGAGGCCTTGGGTGGGAATATAAAACTAATAATAGAGACAGTGTAGTAGATACAGGTAGTTTGTCTGAAGGGATTTCTCATCCTCTCTTTAGGATAATGACTGACTATTAAAAATATTATATCCAGCTTGCAGAAATACTATTACTGCACAATTTGTGTGCTATTGCAGATCTCTGAGACATGCTGAGATTGAAAAGTGAGTTCTGTAGAGACACATTTGAAGAAGGACAAGGAAACTGGTCTTTCTCTTTTTGTTGCCAAGAGTTAAATATTAATTCACTGTATTTTTTAATTCCAAAAAGCTTTGATTTCCTTGACCTAGAAAATCCAGCAAGGAAGACAGTTTCATCAAGGCTGCATGTGAATGTTTGATAAGGTTTTAACGTCTTATTTCTGAATTTGGATATAGAAAATGCTATGCAAATATTTGCTCATTGCACTGAAAGGAAATTAAAAACTGCATTACAAGTCAGTTGACCACATGTTGTTTGATTACAAGTAATCTCTCCTGGTTGCCTCATTGGCTAGAAATACCTTTGCTATATATCTGTGGAGGACTTTGCCATAGTCTGTGGATGGCTTCATTTTCCTCTTCTACCCTCATGGACATGGCAGGTGCAATTTGTACTCTCCATGGGACCTGTGTTCATATCCCCAAACAACATTTTTCCTCGCCATTTTCTTCTGAGAACACATACTCAAACAAGTTTTAGTCTTTCTGTGTTTTAATGTAAAAGTTTTGAGGTATATGGTTTCTCTAATAGAATTTAACACTATATGTTTCATTTATTAAAATATATTAATACTTATTATCATCAAAGTCACGTTAGACACTGTCAGATAAATTGAGATATTCATAATTGTCAGTTTCTGGTCTTGACTTTAGTTACTGTTATTTTCTTTTCACCAATATGTGAGTGACTAAATGCTTCTCTGTTGTGTTCAGAACCATGCTCTCACCAGTAGCCACTGTATTCACTAGGGCTTTGCTGGAGTTTAATAGAGAAGGGGAAACTCAGTCATTCCAAGACACTGTCAGTCTCTACCTGCCAGATACTGCAAGATGGCTAAATGAGTTAAAACACTTGCCCTACATGGCTAATGGTCTGAGTTCCATCCCCAAACTCCACAGTAGAAGGACAGAATCTACTCATGAAACTGACTTCGAATTATCCCACACATACCCCCATTTAAACACACATTAATAGTAATAGAACAAATTTAAGTTACAAGTCAAAAGACTCTCCAGTGGCAGCCAGCACTGGTGCACCATGCCAACACCAATTTCCTTTCCTGCAAACATCACTGTACACATTCAATTAGTGTCTCTGATTGGAACTTCACTGTCTCCCATTTTTAACTTTCCCTCATGTTAGGGTTCTGTATGCAAACTGAAGGTATAGGAAAGTTATTCCTAGTCTTATATGAACACCGATTCAGGGGATGTCATTTGGATACCTGTGTTGTACCTGATAACGCTTCTCTGCTATATGATTTGTTTTTCCTTGCTTGATGGCAAAGAGAAAATCCAGTTAGATGGACATGATCTAAAGGAATGATGGCAGATTTTACTTGGTAACTGCTGACAATAGGGATAAGAGCTCTGTTTGGATTTCTGTGAAGTGGCTACATTTATTAGGAGGATGAGGGGCCTTTTGATGGATAGAAAAGCAGGGTCACATGATTTCTGACATGTTCAGAGCATTCAGTTTCCATTTCCCCAAAGGGTCTGGTCCTACCTGGGTCATCCATTTGGTGTCTCCTTGGGCAACTTCATCTTGGGCTTAGCTGCCTTACATTGTTAAGAGAACTTGATATTAAACTTTTACCTATTAAAACTATGAAAGATTATATTATTTTGTTTCAGGGCCGAGATCTGGACTATAAAATTCAGGAATGTAAAGAAACTGGGAAAATCCTTCCTGAGAATCAGATAGTAGAGTGGTTTATCCAATTGTTGCTTGGAGTCAACTATATGCATGAGAGGTATGTTGGTTTGTCTCTGGGGACAGGGTCTATTTTTTAACACTCATGTCTGAACTTGAAAAGTGAATATTTTTTATTTGAAAGTGAACAGGTCAAGAAGAGGAATGGCCACAGTCAAACATCTGTAATATTTTATAATATGATTTCTTTCCTTGAGGAAACTGTTGAATAATTATTTGTTCACATATCATTTATTTATATCAGTTGTGTATATGTGTATACATGCCACAGCTTGGGTGTGGAGGTCAGCCTTTGGTGTCAGTCTTTACTTTTACTTTGTCTGAGATTGGGTATCATCTTCTCTGCTGAATATCCCAGATGCATTGGCCTCTGAGTTTCCTTCCTCACCTCCCATCCTTCCAGGAGGGGTTGGGTTACAGACAGTAGTTTCTACATTCAGCTTTTTTTATGTGGGTACTTGGGATTTGAACTCAGGTCCTCATGTTTGCACAGTCAGCACTTTATGCACTGAGCCATATCTCCAGCTTCCTTTTTTTGTAGTTCTAGAAACCAAGTTGATCTTCAGTGTAGCAGAAACTGTATTGAGCATGGTGGGTGTCTTGTATAACAATCTTCTGTGAATTAAAGCAGATACTCACACATTATTAGTAGGTCATGGTAGACAAATATTCAATCCGAAAGTCAGTTTTTCTATAAAATGTGAGGCAACAGTCAATGTGTATCCTCTGAGTTTCAGTAATCTGTCATTTTTGCTAATGGAATTTGCCTCAACATTTTAAAACATTGTATGATCTTTCCAGATGTTAAGGTGCTAAATCATTTTAGTCCCATCAAATGATACAAACAAATTTGTAAAAATAGACTCTCACAAAGTGGGCAGTTATGACATGCTTACTGCAGGAGTGAGCAAAACTCCCAGGAACAAACAGCCATCTTGAGTGACAGTGATATTCCTAGGATGCACCAAGGCCTGGTAGTCCCGGGATGTCATTGCTTAAGTGTGTCATCTGTTGTTTCTGATAGCATAAAAAGTAATCAGATTCCCCTGCAATTGGCCTTATATCTGCTGAAACACATGCTCGATGACACAGATAGTAACTAATTCAGTGTGGCTCCCAACAGTCTCTGAGATGATGTCCTGAGATGATGATGAAATATCACATAATCTTTAATAAAGACTTAGCTGCTGTGCCTGCATGCTCATATTGCTATTATCTTCCCATCTCCCTTCTCCTCTCCCTCCCTCCCCTCCCCTCCTCCCTCCATCCTGTCTTTGCTGTCCCACTGCTTCTTAGCATATTGTTGGCTTATTGGATAAAGAACTTAATTAATTAATACCAACAAAGATGCCCTCGGTGGGGAGTGTTTTGTGTGCAAAATGTACAAATAGAATGTGGTTGACTTAAGATCCCAAATTTGATTTGTTTTCTATTCTTGTTTTTCAATTTTGTTATTATACAGGGTTACATAAGGCTATTCTCATGTTAGTATAAAATACACTCTGAACACATTCCACCAATATTTTTGATGTGTTTAAGATTACTTAGTGATAGTTAAAAATAAATGCGTTTAAAAGCAACCTCCAAAGGGAGGAGTGACATTTTCAGTCTGTCAGTGTTTATAAAAAGTCATTCAACAGAACTGCATATGTGGATGTTACTGAATCTGTGGATCTGGAATTACACTCTTTTTGATTCAGATGAAAAGCGATGGTGTCTCTTATTCATTATATTGTAACCATTCATGATAAGCTTCTTATATAGAGAGCAATGACAATTTATATTTTAATTCACTTTATTCATGAAATAGCACTAAACTGAAACTAAGTCACTTACAGTGTCATAGTTACAAGGTAGGTGACTATAGAGAATTACATCTCCACTGAATGACATACCATGACACTGGGCAAGCTGCTTGACATCTTTGAGTCTTGTTTCTTCATCTGTAAGACAGTAACAAGGAAGTGACTTTCACTGCTTATTTTGTAGGACTGTAGGGCATGTATACTGGAATCTTATGCATGTAAGAAATTTCTATAACATTATAGACTGTGATGATAATTAAATATAGACATAAGGGTGCAGCCAGAAGACAGGCTTTTGCTTGTTTGTTTTAGTTTATTGAGACAGGATTTCTTTGTGTAGCTATGGAGGCTGTCCTGGAGCTAACTCTGTAGACCAGGCTGACCTCAAACTCACAGACATCTGCCAGCATCTGCCTCCTGAGTGCTGGGATTAAAGGCGTGTGCCACCACAGCCTGACTCCATGATCTTTTTAAATGTTAACAATTACATGTGTTGGCAAGGATGCAGAGCAACTTGACATTTGTCACATTATTTGTGCGGTGGCCATTGGTAGCAATGCTTTGGGGAAATGTGTGATAGTATTTTCTGGACTAAACATCCAAATGGAGGTTCTGTATTCCTTGAGGGGAACAGTGATGAGTGCTGACCTTTTGGATATAGAACAAAAGAATCATAGTGAATATGTGGTAGACAGACCTGCACTCATGTTTTCTCTGGCACTGACACACAATCAAGTTATGGAATCATCATAAATGCTCACCAATGGGGTGAATGGGTAAAGAAAACATAGTATCTATATACATCATGGGGCTTATTAGTAAAGAACCATGTGTTGGAAACTGGATGAAATCATCATGATCAAACCAGGTGACCCCAGACTTAGAGAAATGTTGTATGTTTTCTCTCATACATAGAATCTAGATTTTATAAAAGAACATGAAAGTAGGAGGAGCCTATTGAGGAGATTAATGGAAGGAGAAGAAAGGGATAAGAATGTTCAAAGTACACTAGACGCAGATGTGGAAATGTCATAATGAAATACATTCTTTTGTACAAATTATATGGAATGATAAAAAATCAAAAGAAGAGAAATGAGGTCTGATCAGTAATAGGTATACAAAAATGGCTACAGAAACCTTTTTTTATAATGACTAATGTACTCTTAAATTTTTGTCTGCAATGGAATGTTTAAATAAACACATATGTAATAATGTGTGATCTGAATGGATCTCTAATATACAATGTAGGACGAAAGAAGATGGATGTAGATGGGTGCACATCAAGATTTATGCACTCCAGGGTAAGTTACAGAGAATGATGAGAGTGTCAAGAAAAGTAGATCTACACTCTATAGGAGATCAGAAGAGGTGTCATTCCACTTGAGACAATCAAGAAGGCTTCTTGAAAGAAGTGATGTTTGATTTGACTCAGAGTAGCTTTTGAGTGTGGTGAAAGGTAGTCCAAGGACTTTCCAGGCTTAAGGAACAGAGTGAGGGGAGGCACAATCCATTTCTAGTGAATGTTGAGTGGTTCTGTTGTGAAGGCTCTTGAGGTAATGTTTTCAATGGAAATATTGGCAGAGAGAAGTTGGGACCAAAAGAGGCCTTGCTTTGTAGCATGGACGCTGAATGCAGTAAGAGACATAGTGAAGCCATGTGACTAGAGCTTACTTCAGTAAGATTAGATGATCTTATGGAAGAGAGAGGTAGAGTGTGAGATACACACACACACACACACAGAGGGGAGATAGAGAGAGGGGGGGGGGGAGAGAGAGAGGGAGAGAGAGGGAAGGAGGGAGGGACACAGAGAAAGACAGAGGCAGAGTGACTTATTAATCATAAACTTTTTATACTGTTCATGTGTGAAGTTATGAAACTTGAGGCAAGGGGACATCAGCATACACTTGGGGAGGATCATAATGAGCTTGGTAAACAACAATGACTGAACTTGAAGTAGGTATGGTAACTGACAGGAAGGCAAAGATAGAGGCTTGGGATAGAGCGGTGGAGTACTTGTCTTCCATTCTTGAGGATCCCCAGGGACGTTGGAGGTGATTATCAAGATGAACTTGAGGTTTGGGGTCTGGAAAAGAGAGAGGGAAAACATGTTGGACACAATGGTTCTGAGATTAATTTTGAGTATGGCAGGTAAAATACGGAGAAAGGAGAGGTGAGAGAGGGGAGTTTGAGGTGAGTCTTGGGGGAATCACCAGGGCTTGTATTTGTTTTGATTCCTATAGTATTAAAGTCCTGAAACAAAGATTAGGGTATAGCTTGCTTAGAAGGTACAGAGGTTTGAATGAGAATGGCCCTCATAGGCTCATATGTTTGAATGCATGGTCCCTAGTTGGTGTAACTCTTTAGGAGGAGCTGTGTCATTGGAGTGGGCTCTGAGGTTTCACAATTCCCAGTTAACTCTCTCTGCTTGTGATTGTGTTTAAAGATGTGAGCTCGCAGCTACTGGCCCAACACCATGCTCCCCTGCTTGCTTCCATGTTCCCCATGATGATGGTCATGGACTCTAATCCTCTGGAGCTCTTATTCCCAATTAAATGTGTTTCTTATATGCTGCCTTGGTCATGGTTTCTTATCACAGTAACAGGAAAGTAACTCTGACAGGAGGTGAGATCAGGAAGTAGAAACCACTGTGTGGGGAGAGAAGAGAAGGAAGAGAAAAACATCCAGTGCATGGCTAAGTTGCTGGGGTGGAGGGACATAGAGGCAGGGTTCTTCCATGCCTGCTTTTAGGTTTTGGAGTGCTCTTTGTGCATTTTTTCTTCTCCAGGAAATTGCTCACAAACTGTTGACTCTGTGTAGCTCTTATTTTTAAACGTTTTTTATGGATTCTCTCTTGAATTATTTTATAGTTTTAGAAATCTTGATTTGAATGGGAAAGACAAATAGCTCCATCTGAATCCAGTCTCCAGAGGGCTTTGTTTGTGTGTGTGTGTGTGTGTGTGTGTGTGTGTGTGTGTGTGTGTGTGTTTGGCTGTTCTAGTGAACTGAACACAGGGCCTTGCTAGACGAGTACTTTACTACTGAGATACATTCTTAGCCCTTAGAATAGTCTTTTTTTTGGCAGAAACTGGGTTTCCCTAGGTAGCCCAGGCTAGCCTCAAACCTCCATTTCCTAAGTGCTGGGATTATAGACATGTGCCATTGCACCTGTCTTCAGTTTGGCTTTTAAATGATGAAATGCTGTGTAATTTTTCCAGTTCATAAATATATAGCACAC